GCATGGTCAGTGTGTTGTAAAAAAGTGTCTGAACAATGACAAACCTGGAAATGAAAAATAGGAAGGGGAATGATTAAGCCAAGGTTAACTCTTCATTCCAAACTTCTCTGCATTGCATAAAGTGGTTAAAGGATTACAAGAAAATGATGTAGTCTGAAGTGGGTTTCATGTCAGGAACACAAGGATGGATCATCACCAGAAAAATCAATCAACATAATTCATCACATCAATAAAAAGATAAAAACTATAATGATCATATCAATAAAGGCTGAGAAAGCATTTTCCAAGTCCATTTATGATGAAAACCCCCAAAGAACTGGAGTTAAACAGAACATACCTTAATATAATAGAAGCCATCTAAACAAACCCATAGCTAATATCATTCTTAATAAAAAATAGTGAAAAACAGAAAGCTATTTCTCTAAGATCTGGTATAAGACAAGGATTACCACTGTTACTAGTGCTATTCTACATAGTTTGGTAAGTTCTAGCTAAAGCAATCAGACAAGAGAAAGATATAAAAGGAATCCTAACTGGGATAGAAGTAAATATATCATTATTTGCAGATGACATGATAATACACATAGAGAACCCTCAAGAAGCCACAGGGGAAAAAAAAGAATCCATAGAAAAACTAAATGAAACAATCAGTTCAGCAAAGTGGCAGGGTATAAAATCAACACACATAAATCATTTGCCTTCCTATATAAAAACAATGGGATAGCAGAGGGAGAAATTAAGAAAATGATCCCATTTACTATTACACCCCTAAAAAATAAATACTTAGGACTAATCCTAACAAAGGTGGTAAAAAAATCTATACAAAGTATAAGACATTGTTGAAAGAAATAGAAGACCCAAAGAAATGGAACAAATATTCCCTCTTCATTGATTAGAAGGAACACCACCATCAAAATGTTGTTGGAGCCTATCCAAAGCAATATAGACATTCAACACAATTCCAATAACTATAACAATGGGTTTTTTAAAAAAGAACTGGAGCAAATATTACTGAAATTCAAATGCAGTCACAAAAGACCCTAAAAACAATCTGACAAAGAAGAGAATGGAAATTATATTATAAAACCATAATAATTAAAACAGGCTGGTACTGGAATAAAAACAGACATACAGATCAATGAAAAAGAATTGAGAGCCCAAAAATAAAACTACACATATATGGATAGTTAATCTATGACAAAGGAGCCATAAACATACCCTAAAACAAAGATAGCCTCTTAAATATACAGTGTTCAGAAAACTGGACAACTGCATGCAAAAAATGAAACTAGACCATGATCTCACACCATACACCAAAATAAACTCAAAATGGATCAAAACCTTGAATGTAAAACCTGAAACTATAAAATGCATAGAAGAAAACATGGCAAAACATTTCATGACATAAGCTTCAGTGATGCCTTTCAAGATTCATCCCCAACAGCAAAGAAAACAAAAAAGAATATAAATGCTGGGACTATATCAAACTATAAAGCTTCTGCACAGCAAAAGAAACCATAACTAAAATAAAAAAGTGTCCCTAGTGAATGGGAGAAAATTTTTGTACAGCATACATCTGACAAAGAACTATTCTCAAAAATATACAAAGAACTCATAAAATTCTACAAAACAAATAACCCTATTAAAAATGGGCAAAAGAATTTCAGACCTTTCGTCAAAGAATATATTCAAATGCCCAACAGTGTATGAAATGGTGTTTACAATCACTTATTACTAGAGAAATGCTCATCAAGACCATAATGAGATACCACCTCAAACCTGTGAGAATGATCCACATAAAAAATACCCAGAAACTACAAGTGCCTACTAGGATGTGAAGAAAGGGGAACACTCCTCCACTGATAGTGAGAATGCAAACTGGTCTGACCCTTATGGAAATCACTATGGATGTGTCTCAACACATTAAAAATGCATCTGCCATTCAACCCAGTAATTCCACTCCAAGGCATCTATACAAAAAAAACAAAAATTCAAAACTACTAAATTTGAAAGGAAACTGTCACTCCCATGTTTATTGCAGCACTATTACTATAGATGACTAGATCAAGAAGATATAGTATATCTACACAATGGAATATTACTCAGCACTTAAAAAAAAAAAAGATAAACCCATGCCATTTGAAGCAAGATGCATGGAGCTTAAAGAAGCAAGATGCATGGAGCTTAAAGGAATAATACTAACTGAAATAAGTCAGAAGGAGCAAGGTAAATACTGGATGGTGTCACTAATGTGTGAAATAAAAAGTAACTAAACTAATAATCATATAAAGACAAGTTTAAAAACTAAACCTTGATAGCTGACTACAGAACTGAAGAACCAAAGGACTGATAGGGGCAGGTGTTAAGAACAAAGAGGGAAGGAAGCACAATGGTAGTGGAATATGGGTGATTTGGTGGTGTGTCAACTACTATAGAGGTAATACCTGCTGAAAGTACCCAAATATTATCTCAATAAAAGAAATAAAAAATAAAATAAAATCAAAGATAAACTTCCTCTCTAAAGAAAAAAGGTATGGTCTGTCACTTCAAAGTTCCAGAAGACTATTAGACACAAGCCATTTCTGTGCTTTTAGGAAAAAAGCAAATTACAATTTTATTTGTAATAAAATTTAATTTTTTTTCCTTACTCATACAATTTTTTCCCAAAGAATTTAGTTTTGAATTGCCAAGTGGTCCTATTAACACTTACCATAAAACATCTGCCGTTTGTTTTAGTTGAAATTGCATCATCATCTACTTACTAAGGGATTCATATGCATAATCTGAGGTTTGGAAACAGTGTCTTTATGCGAATAAAATAAAATTAGATCATTCACAGGATTTTATGTTTAACATTTATGTTAACATGTTTTAAAAAAGATGCTTCATAATTCAATCAGCCTCATGAATGATAGATTTAAACTTTCTGTGGTACATTTTCCTCACATAATAAATGGAAATAACATATTTACCTCATGATAGTATTGTTCAGATTAACTGAGATGCTGAATGTAATGTGTGTGGAATTAATAGATACTAAATACTGTTTTCTTGCCCACATCCCTTCAGATTTCATGAACTGTTTAATAACACACTGGATGAAACTGTTCCTCCAATTGTTTGACAATCATTTCAACTACTTTCTGTATTTTGCATCTATAAGTTTACACTCTCACTGTCAAAATAAGCATATCACACCCCATAAGTACTTCACAACTACCCCTTCTTCTCTCCAAAAAGTATACAAATATACTTTCAGCCAAAGTATGTAGCTAACACAAAAGGATATATATTACATATCTATGTGCCTATATATCTATATATACATACAAATGAATATATATGTTCTGATTTCAGATACATAATATTTGAGTAAATGGTTGACTCTATTAAAAATTCAAAGAATAAATGTGTCTACTAAAAGCATCTGTCCCTACTTATAAAAAAACTAAAGTTTAGTTTCTTTCTGTGAACAGTAGTCTCTGTTTATCATTGATGTATACTTTATATGACAAGATTATGAAATTATGATGCTTAATAACAAATGTACTTGAATTGAAATATCAATTTACTAAGTACCTGGAATTGTGTTATACTTTATATGCATTAACTCATCACAGGTGACATAGTTCTTAATCTTATATTCATTTTATTTTTAGGTAGATTCATATTTATTTATAACTACATATCTTATTAGTTGTTATTCTGAACAACTCTTACTATTACAAAATTTTTCATTTTTGTAATAACATTTTTATTTGTCTCCACCATCCACCCATGCCATAACCCCATCTGCCTCCTTAAAGAGACATTAAGGAATTTATTCATGCACACAGTTAATGATTGATATATCCAGGATTTAAAGCCAGGGGTATCAATCCAGAGTCCGAATTCATAAGCCACTACACTATGCCAACTTTTTTTTAGGTAGACATATTGGGAGACGCTGTACAAATAGCATTATCAATACTGCCATATAGCTTCTATATTTTTTAGAAATTCTATTTTTGAATTGTCGTTCAGGTCATTCTACTTCATCAAACAAGGAATTTGGGCATATAGAGGTAAGACTCTATGATCTAGTCCTTTCCAACTCCAAAGTAATAAAAAGGTAGCATTTGACTGAGTTTTTTTTATGAGTGAAAGAAGACTCTTGGAGAAGTTCAGAACTTTTACTCTAAGTACTTTTCATCCAAGAATAATTTAGATTATTTAGACACTTTCATAATCTACATTTTCACATATCTCCTACATATATATTCAAACCAGGCCAAGTGTGGAATTGGAAAACATCATTTGAAACGAAAGTAAAGTCATAACACACAATACAAAAAATAAATCTTCAACATCTTCAAAATAAAATCCAAGGAAATAACCAAAATATGTCTGAACTCAAATACTCAGGCTCTTAAATAAGTTATTAAATTTTTCAAAGTTATTGGTGGAGGCTTTATTTTCTGAAAGTCTTGTATTCAAAGCCCAAACTCATCATTTTTAATCGATATTAAGGAAGGTATAAAACCTTCCTAGATCTCTGTTTTCTTATTTAGAAAACAGGAATAAAAATAATGATATTACAATATTTGAGGGATAATTAAGCAACACATATAAGTCAACTGGTAACAGAGCAAATCTTAATAATTCAATACATTTAAAAATTTCCATATCAACACAGGCTAATCATAATAAACACAGGCACACATCTTCACTGTTCTCAATTTATGGTTAAGAGAACAAAAATTTTCTCACTTAAGTGAGAAATATTATGTGTGAGTATGTCTACGGAACAATAGTAAAATCAGTCATTAGAATTCTTGAAATTATATTACTTTATTCCTGCTAGCAAACAGCTCATCAAATTTTTACCTTTTATATACATTTTCCTCAATATTCACAAATATCAGGAACTACAAATAGAAATGTGTTCTTTTATGACTGTCTGCCAAATTCATTCAGCATGACTGCAATTGAGTGAAAAAATAAAAATACGTATTACTTACTGTATGTGGTGCTTGGCAATTTCAAAATGATTTGCAAACATTCATCCTCAAAATACTCCTACAAACTGCATCTGTGAGAAGATAAACATCCAAAAGTAAGCCATTTTCCCAAGGTCACAGAAAAACTAATTCATACCAACAAACACTTAGACACTATATACTTTAACATAATGAAATAAGGCTTTGCAAAATATAGATTATACATAGCAAGGCATAATGAGCTGGTGAACACAATATTCCCAACTATATGCAAATATTTTACACATCAATATAAAGGCAGGAATGGGCACAGAGCAGGATCTCTATGATCCGAGCATACGGGGCAAGGAGGAGAGAGTCCTAAGTGCCCTCGGTGGGTTTTGCAGGCTTTTATTGGGATTTACCAGCTACACGACAGGCAGGGGTGCTGGGGGGTCAGGAGGCTGGCAGGCCTCCCAGCCCCCCAGCAAGTCTTCACACTCTCTGGGCTCTCCAGCATTCTCTGGTGGTCCCTCTGCTTCTCTTGTGGTTCTCTTCTCTACTCTCTCGTTCTACTTATCTGCTCTCCTCTCTTGTGCTGCTAGCATCCCCATGACGCCACCCTTATAAGCCCAGTCTTTCAGCACAAGTGTACCCACTTACGCACGACCACACCCTACTCCAGGTGCCTGCCATCAGGCATGCACTCAGGACCGCAAGGATCGATCATTAATTTTAATGGTGGGAGGGCAGAAAAGCCTGATACTTTACTTACCTTACAATTAGTCAAAGAGGACACCCTTAAGTTACAGATAAGAAATATTTACATATTGGCTTCAAGAGTAAAAGAAACACAGTGTAAGTATAAGTAAGAAACAAGTGTAAATATAAGTAAGAAACACATGGCCTAAAAGTCATCTCAAAAAATGAGGTGTTTATAAGTAAATTTAGTTGGACACTTGAGATGGTTATTAACATAATTCAACTTTTTTAAAATGTACATTTGTCTGATACGAATATCACTGAGTTAGAAGAGAATTTTGCTTGATTTATCCAGAGAATTGCACCAATTCACAATGTAATTGCATTTCAATTCTAATTGAAAATCATGCTCTGAGAAAAACACAGACATGCCACTTGCACACCTCACAAAATACACAAAGTTCCATGTTCTGTTTTTCAGAAAGTCAATGTGATAAGATAAAAAGTTACTTTATTTTGATAAAAAAGAATTTATTAAAGAATTTGTTTAGGGAAAGAGTACATTACAAAGTTCGAAATATTAAGTGGCTTTGATGCTACTGAGTATGTTTCATTAAAGAGTTTTTCAAAAGAAGCAAAATAAAACACAACCTAATGATAATAAAACAACTCTATTTAAAGTACCTGTTGTTTCAGACAGATCGAACACACTACGGATAAAACAAATAAAAAACCTCCTAAGTATCAAGCATTGTTAGAGGACCATTAGCTCTCAACAACCAACAGAATTTCTGCTCAGAGAAATTTGATTCATTACAGTACTAAGCAGAAACACCAATTTAAAATACAGGAGATGTGCTTTCATATTCAGCAAAACCAAAAGTAACCAAATGAAAAGTTCAACACAGAGAACAAGCATTCTGAGTTTAAGACCTCATATATCTTCCTCTAGTGTGTGAAAGATAACAGGATGACTCCAGCCTCTACCTGGCACAGGAATATATGATTTCACAAATGACCAACACAAAGACTTTCAAACAAGAAGAAGAAACCAGATAGAATTGGCAAGTTTGCAGTTAAATGTCAAAATTATATCAGGAAATTCCTAAGAAACCATGAATTTTTATAAATTTTTTTCCTAAGTTAGAACTTAGTAAATAAACAAATTTATATTCTCATATAATTTCAGCAGAACAACAAAGTTACAAAAATTAGCAGATCTGTATGTTTCTTCATATTTACATTCTCATCATCACATATAAGAGAACTAAAACATTAATCACAAGATTTGCCTAATTTGACGCAACTAATAAACATGCAATCCTGGTTTCATAATCAGCTTTTCTGACCTGTAATTCTCACTCAAGTCTGGTAGGCCTTATCCCAATCACTTCCAGAGCAGAGACTGCAAATTCCTCTCAAAGCTTCCAGAGCAGAGGAGGTTGGCATAATAACCAAAATTCAGTTTACCATCATGTTTTGGTTATCCCACACTATGTTTTCAAGACACTTAATAATCAAAAGCAGATTTCTCATAAGAATCCTCATTTCCAGCTTTTAGGAAGAGTGAACATTTTGCAAGGGGAAGCTCACAGCCTCCAGAACACAGAGATGTTTAACCCCTTTGCAGGGATATGCTTTCTGCACTCAACTATTTCATAATCTGGCAGAATATCTACTGTGCAATTTTCAAGCACTGGAGTTGGTGGGCAAAGTCTCCTTGCCCACCAACTACAATCAGGCAAACTGAAATTAAAGAAAGTCTGGATATTATCTGGTGTGAACCCAAATTAAGGAAAGTCTGAAAATATTTAGTCTCAACTCTTCAAAATCATTAAAGATTGAGAAAATGTTCCAGGTTTTAAAAAGCTTAAAAGATAAGACAGCCAAATACACAAGTGATTCTAAATGCACTGAGTTACATAATGGTAATTAGCTAATAATGAACTTTTTAATTTACACAGTTGTACCGTGGTTATATAGGATAATGTTCTTCAGAAATGCACACTAAATATTAAAGAAACATGATGTTTAGACATTATTCTTAAATGATTCAGCAAAAAATATATATAAGTGCATGTAAAGCAACCAACCCATTCTGAGCAGGTTTATGAACGGTTCTAGCAGCCACATACTCTTCGCCGTGGTTTGTAGTCGCTCCAACAATCCTCCGTACACTCCACTCCTCCACTCTTAACACCGCACTACCACCACACCGCACTCTGCTGCACCACCCTTATATTATCAGTCTTTTAGCGCAGGTGTACCCACTTCAGGTGCCCGCCATCAGGCATGCACCCAGGATCACAGGGCTCTCTCATCTATCCTGATGGCGGAAGGGCAGAAAAGCCTGATACCTTTTACCTTACCCTACAGTGCATATATAGCTATATATTTACATACATCTATGCAGAGAATCCTAGCAGAAATAATAAAGCAAAAGAAGCAAAATGTAAACAATTAATGAATCTGTAAAGGAAGTATTCTTAAGTACAAAAGTTGCAAATTTTCTGTTTGTTTGAAATGAGATGGTCTCACTAATAGCAGGAATTTAGAAAACCTAAATAAGAGAACAGGAAAAAGACTAATCATTACAAAGAAAAATCAAAATCAACAAGCAACTATAAACCAGAGACACACTGGGGGGTGGGGGGTGGGAGGAAGGACTAGAGTCAAAATGGTGGGGGGGGACTGCAACTGTATGGGGAATATAACTAAAATGAAAATGCATACATTGTGCAAAGATGAAAAAAGATGTAAGAATTATATAAAATAAAATATTTAAATAAAAAAAGAAAACAAAAAAATCTTAGTGAAAAAAATATAGAAATAAATGTTTTAATTTCATTGAGTTCGTTTTGTTTTTGCATCACACAGAAACAAATAATGAAGTATTTTTAATTGAAGAAAAAAATGAGAATTTAAAAAGTAAGTCAGAATCACACCCATGTTTTTGACAACCATGATAGCAAGAGATTTAGAATGATATATATTCTCATGTATTAAATATATTATGTTTATATATAATTCATAAATTTATATGTTGAATATATTTAAAGATATGTATTTATTTATAATTTATATATTTCTGTGTGCATATTAAATATTTAAGATACAAGCAAAGGAAACTGTATGCAGAAACTAGTTTTTGTTTTTTAAATAAATCATACAGACAATAATTTTTATATTATCTAAATTCAACAAAGTTAAATATTACCAAAAGAAAGTAGTCATCAGTAAAAGAAAAAGGATATTATCAGTCTATGAGGCTATCAATAACTGGATTTTTCTTATCTAATTGTTTTTCTAAATCAAAATTACCAAAAACTTTTTAATTCAAAAAAGAAACAAAGAATTAAAATTAATTCCTACAATATATTTTATGTACAACTATTTTTTCTTCTAGACTTTTATTTTACAAATTCTACCTTATAAACTATTTTATAATTAGATTCTCATTTTACTTGTGAATCTCTTTTTGTGGCAATATCAAAATTTTTATCATGAAAAAATCTTTTCACTGATTACTCTTCCATACATGCCATCATTTATTTTCTACATTTTCATATATAAATTACTACAAGATATATTTATAAAAGATAAGGAATAAAAATTACTGCAAATTTCCTTTTGTGTACAACTTCTGTCATAGCATGAGTGTTTCCTGAGGATAAAAATATACAGAAGGGGAATTGTTGGATCAAAATAGCATGAGGCTGCAAGAGTTGTTAAACTCCATAATTAATAAGGATGCACACAGTTTTCATATTTGAAAAATCCCACAATCTGGTTATATTTTACAATCCCCATAGCCAGTGGCATAGTGACATAGTATTTGTTGCCTCTTTGGCCCTAGCTCTTTCTATTATGTCTTGAACTGAGTTTTAGGCATTTTTAGTATTACACATACTGAGTTTTTTTACCTTTAAAATATCTTTAAAGAGATTATCCAATTTGACACGGAATTTTATTTTGAAAAATGCATATGGAAGCAGAGAAATTTTAGTAGAATAATCATATATTTTTAGAGGAATTCTTTCCTCCAATATTTCTTACTTTATTAAAGAACAGTCAAGCACTTTAAAGGAATTAAGAAAGGAAAATTCCTACAAATAGATTAAGATGTTCTACAGTCTTATAACCAAGAACATACAAGGGGATTGAGTATTACATGACAAATGATGCATTAAGACAGAAAACACTATATATGCCCCTGAATAATCCAAGCAGCTATACCAGGTCTCATTTCTAATTTATAGCAACAATGTGTCAGAATGCCTAAATGTGATAATTTGTTACACACACACACACACACACACACACCATTTACATTTTATTACACTAGCAATTATCACTTTTTAAGTGCCAATTAATGGTTCTCACAGACCATGACTTCTATCAGCCAACTTTA